TGCACACATCAATAAGAGCCAAAACAGTCTCTTTTACATAGCAGAAAACTGTGAATCCTCCAGGATAAGCTTGTCTGGCAAAGACTGGAGCAAATCAGAATCAGGCAGTCTTTGACGCTCAGAAGGCCACGGGTAAATCAAATGTAGATTCTGCAGGGGTCATAAGGTGTGGGAGCCTCTGTTGGCAGTCACTAAATAAGTGGGTTATTTGACCCATTAAGTCTTGCATACAGGTGAAACTCGAATAATTAGAATATTGTGCAAAAGTAATTGCAGTAAGTGCTGCAAAAGGGGCCCAAACCAAGTACTGAGTACATATGCATGCTTGTACTTTTCAGAGGTCTGATATTGTTCTATGTACAATCCTTGTTTTATTGATTGCATGTAATAATCTACTTTTTTGAGGTTGGGGATTTGGAGTTCTTGGGGTTTTCATGAGCTGTAAGCCATAATCATCACAATTATGACAAATCACAGCTTGAATTATCTTGCTTTGCATGTAATGAGTCTCTCTCATATATGTTTCACCTTGTAAGTTGCATTAGTGAAATAAATGAACTTTGCACGATATTCTAATTATTCGAGTTTCACCTGTATCTGTACTGAAAACCTCTGCCAAAAGGGCAGAGGAATGAACCACACCCAATGGAGCTAAAGAGGACTCTCATGACGGAATAGTCTTTAATGGCAGAGGGCAATATGATTCTAGGCTTCAGATGTCAGAATCATCAGTAGGCTAATTGCAAGCAGATCTATTAATAGAGTGTAAGCTCGGTCAACTATATATCAGGACGGTCCCCCATCATCAAGGGCCAACCACCCCCAGGCATAGACCAAAGAGGAATCAAGTGACCACCCTGAAGATTTTGGAAAAAGGTAAGCGTAACAAAAAATTATTCATGCTGGGGGGCCTCCAGAGGGGCAGGTGGCTGAGCCCAGAGTTGGACTTTACAGAACCTTTCTTGAGAGAAACAGAGGCTGCCATCACTGACTTCTCATTTTTACAAATACTAGCTGCCTGGTTGTATGTTAACCCTCTGGTTTCCTTACATCAGATCACCAACTTATGCAGATAAGGACTTCTGACTTTTCTGTACTTGCTCTGGGTCTGTGACACAAAAAGCTTTTGAACCACATAGCAGGCATATAAGCCATGCTACCAACATTTTCAGGAGGTCAGCAATGGTAGGGTCCCTATTTCCCTTAACCCTTTCGCTGCCAAGCCCTCCGGAACATTTTTCAAATCAGCTGGCCAAGCCATTTTTGAATTTTCTGCAATTTTTTCCTATTGATTTGATTTTCAACTGCTGCGTTGCTAGCGTTTGTAAAAGACCCCCCAAACCATATATTTTCTGAAAGCGCAGGCCCGGTAGAATAAAAAGCTGGTGATACTAAATTTGTAGGCCCTGCGATAATTGCGCAAATGTTTCTCAAATTAATATTAAACCGATAAAAATACACAATTCAATTGATAAAGCACACTAAAATCAGTATCAGCGCACAAAAAATTATTTTCTGACTAAATCTAAAAGATAACTGTATTGAGTTAATAACAAATATTTGCAAATTTGAAATTGCGCCTTTTTGCAAAAAGGTAAAAAATTACAGTATGCAACTGTAAATAAGCAACTTATGTTAAAAAAAATTTCACGCGGTGTTTGTGTTGTGATAAAATTATACAGGCGTATATTTATTGCAACACAAAGATCACAGCGCATGGCAATGCGTCACAAAGCTTTGCCATGCGCTGCGACAGTTAATTTAATTTTTTTTAAAGAACACATGTACACATTTTTATTTATTACATTTTCTATTTAATAATTTTTTTTTACATTCTATTTAATAATTTTTTTTTTTTTTTTTTTT